TTCAGCAAACATCAAATTTAATATATAATGGCACAAGCCCACTGAAATTTACACACAAAAGATAAAGCTGAAAAATGTTTACTATTCATTCTATAATGGAAGTCAACACCCTGGAAGGGGAGGGGGGAGTAATTTTAAAATATCCACATCTTTTTAGAAATAGTTTTCTTATTAATAAGTTTCTTCTGAACTTATCTGTGATTTTAAAAAAGTAATGCATCTTTAGTAAAGAGCAGGCTCTATACAGTGAAAAACTATTTTTAGTGAAAAGAAATTATATTCTAACTATCTGAAGAACAACAATAATAAAAAAACCTCAAAACCCCAAGCAAATCAAATTTATGACTGTGTTTTACTTTTTCTGGTTTGCTTTGTCTCTTTTCTCATGCCTTTCCTATATGTGCACAGTACTACTACTTAGAATGTTCCCTTAATGGAAGCTTTTATAAATTAATGAATCTGGGGAAGAAACATAAGATCTGATGAACAGAATAAAAATAAGCATAAGCCTCCTGACAGAACAAGACATTACCATAAAGCTGTCCCACCACAATGTCCCACCAAATCACACCTTTGTATCTAATTGCCATCTTACAAAATACAAATTAGAGTGGAACAATTAAACATATTATACCAAAAAGATAAAATTAAGCAAATTCCAGGCTTCTTCAGCAAGCAAGTTGATAGCAACAAATTAAAAAGTTGAGAGACTAGAATGAGAAACATAAAAGAAATTTAAACTTAAAATTTTTTAAATTAAAAGTCAACTAAAGTTATTTGGGAATACACCTATGTAGGTGGTGAAATAACACCAGAAAAAAAAAAACAGGCAAAGAACAATCAGATATAAAAAAGACTTTAAGAAAAGAAAAAAAGGAAGATCTTGAGTTTGCCCTTCAACGTTGCAAGAAAAAATTTCTATACAGTAAGTTTGAAAACATGCCAATATTCACCTATTGAATTTAAACTGAGAATATATTTCTAAGAAATATAGGTATCAATGATTTATACTGCACCATAATTCATAAGAAAAATAAACAGCTTTTCAATGAGAGTATAAATAGTAAAATTGGGGGCTTAATATAATTAAATAGTAAAGTAATTAAAATATAAGAACTGGAATTTAATAATAATTTGAAAATAAATCCCAGTTTGAATAGTCTATTCAAATTGATGACCTACCAATCTGACCCATTAACAATCTTACTGCAAAGTATATTCCTTAGAGAAATGTGTTAATATATGTTAACATATACACCATATTTAAAATTCAGAGCAGCACAATTAATAACAGCAAAAATGTAGAAACAACAATGGAATATTGCTTGATTATAAGAAACAAAATTATGCAATTTGTTGCTACCTGGATGGATCTGGAAAGTACCGTGCTGAATGAAATTAGTCAAAAGCACTGGTAGAGAATGACCACTTCCGTGTGTGGCATATAACACAAATGGCTAAAGGCAACAGAACCTGAGAACTTGCCTACAGAACTGAGTTTAGCAAGGTCAGGTAAAGGTAGGAAAGCCGGGGTACACTCTGGTGGAAAGCATGGTACTGGAATACCCTAAGCATGAAACCCTATCATTTAAAGTATTGTAAATGATGGTGCCTAAAATAAGGGGAAAAGGGAAACCTAGAAATAGAAACAACCCACGGGGCTGTCAAATACAGTATGTAAATAGTGTGGTGATAGCCATACAATAGGCTGGAGCGATAGCACAGCGGGTAGGGCATTTGCCTCGCACACGGCCAACCCAGGTTCAATTCCTCCTCCCCTCTCGGAGAGCCCGGCATGCTGCCGAGAGTATCTCGCCCGAAGGGCAAAGTCTGGCAAGCTACCCATGATGTATTCGATATGCCAAACCCAGTAACAAGTCTCACGATGGAGACGTTACTGGGCCCGCTCGAGCAAATCAATGAACAACAGGAGGACAGTGCTACAGTGCTACAGCCATACAACAGAATATTATTCAGCAATATTAAGGAATAAAGTGCTGGTGCATGCTATCACATGAATGTTGAAAAGCACTATGCTCAGTGAAAGAAGATGCCACCAAAATGTGCACTGTATAATCTCATTACATAATATTTCTAGTATAAGCAAATCCAGATAACAAGAGCAGATTAGGGGTTATGAGTTGAAGTCAGAAGAAGATTAGAGAAAAACTGCTAAATTCAGGGCATTTTTGAGGTGATAGATACTATAAAAAAATGCAGTAATGGCTATACAACTCTTAATATATTGAAAAACAATTTTTTTAAATTCTAAGTTCACTATTTTGACAAATTTTCTCAAGGGTCTGGAAGAACAGCACAGAGGCTTAGAGCACCACCAGCCTTGTAAGCATATGGTTGTGAGTTCAAATCCCAGTGTTCCACATACGAGAGCACATGTCTGGTGTCTCTGCTGTCTACCATCCCAGCCATGAAACCAAAACCAACAGTAGAGGCAAATGTATGTAAGCACCACAAAAGTGGGGTGTAAACCCCAAGAAACACATGTGCACCACAACAACCCCCCCACTGGGTACCACAAACCATAACTTGTGTGTTTCAACTGAGAGTACAACCCGTGACAAAGCATCCTGCATGCACCACAAATAAAGTGTTAACCTCAGTGACCAGTGCAGGCACTAATATGCGACCTCAACAAACACAACAGCTAAAGATGTGGTGAGGCTCGAGGGAGTGATAGTACAGTGGGAAAGGCACTTGCCTAGCACACAGCCAACCTGAGTGAAGAGCCAGGAGTAAACTCTGAGCAACACCAAGTGTGCCCCCCCCCCCAAACAAAACAAAAAACAGCTTAAAAATGCATAAGCAAGAGTGCCAAGCATGAATGTAAATCCTCCACCACCCACACCTCCATGAAGGGAAGGGCAAGGAGAAAAAAAAAAGAATTTTAAAAGTTAAACATTTCATATATATAATGGTACACAGAAAGACTTCACCCTAGAGATTTATGAAAGCCACGATTATAATCTGTTATTTCAATTGTACAATGCTTACAATGCTCTTGCAGAAGTCAACAGTTTAGCTAATCTTCTATAGCTCAAGCAATCCTTTATGAATGACTACTTAGCATATTTAAAAAGGAAAAACGCCAAGGAGATGGCACGTTAACATGCCAAGGATACAGCATGTTAAGGACGAGGTACCAAAGAGACAGCACAGCAGCTAAGGTATTTGCCTTGCACACAGCAGGCCTGAGTTCTTTCCCTGGCAACCCCTGCAGCTCCCCAAGCCTGTCAGGAGTAATCCCCGAGCACAGAATCAGGAGTAAATCCTGAGCACAGACAGATATGGCCCCCAAATAAAACAAAATCAAAAAAAGCAGCCTTGGTACACCATGTTCATCTCAGCATCACAATGTATAGCCCTGGAAAATTCCCTTTCCCTGTACTGCCACTTTTGGCTCTGGTGACCACCAAGCACTGCCGGGAGATTAGTCCTGGTGGTCTCTGGCCTTACAGGGCCCCAGCTGCATCCTCAGCTTTAGCATTGAGCCATATGGTCTGGCTGGTTTAATAGTCACCAGGTTCCACCTAAGTATTGCTTGGTATGGCCACCACCCTGGCAATAAAAAAAAAAGATACCAACTTATAAAATGATAAACAAAAATAGTAATGAGTGTTGCTATGAAACCAAATTGAAACTAAAAGTGGAATTTATCATCCTTCATTTAATGATTAAGAATTTATCCTTTTTTAATCAAGTAAATTATTAAAATGTACGTGGCCACAAAAAGTTAGTTTTAGTGCATGTATCAGAATTTCTATTCACTAGGTACAATAAAAAATGAAGGGTGGAGGAAGATTGAGGCTTAATATTAAAAAAAATCAACAGTGTTATCAGTTTCCAAATTACATAGTCAAAGATGTGACAAATTATTTCTCCAAATTATCTCCCATAAGGCAAAGTATCAAACTCCTAGATCATTTTAACATTCCAGACATCAACTACTACATACCTAATCTTACTCATGACACCTGTTCATAAATGTATTCGGAATAAGGTAGTAGTATTAAAAAAAAGTCCTTAAAGAAACGAAGCTAGTAAGAGACATGGAGGTCATAGGAAAGGAGGCAAAACAAGCCATAAGTTCCTTACTTTACAATCAAATAGAAGTATATTTAGGGAACCAAATTTTGTCTAAGGACTACAGGAGGACTACCCAATATCTGTCAAAAGTTTTATTATAGGAAGTTAGGATTTTGGAGGATTTTTTTTCTTTTTTGGTCACACCCAGTGATGTTCGAGGAATACTCCAGGCTCTGCACTCAGGAATTACTCCTGGCAGTGCTTGAGGACCATGGAATGCTGCGGATTGAACCTGCTTTGGCTATGTACAAGGTAAATGCCCTACCCACTGCACTATTGCTCTGGTTCCTAGAAAGTTGTTTTCTCTCAGAAAGACTGATTGTCCCTAAAAAGTAAATCAAGAAAAAGAACCAACAGGGAATAACAACACACTAGTAATCAACCCAATTTGTTATAGAGACATTAAATATAAAAAACAATTAATAGTTGCTTCTATATACCAATGGGCTGGAGCGATAGCACAGCGGGTAAGGTGTTTGCCTTGCACGCAGTCAACATGGCCAACCCGAGTTCGATTCCTCCGCCCCTCTCGGAGAGTCCGGCTAGCTACCGAGAGTATCTCGCCCACTCGGCAGAGCCGGGCAAGCTACCCGTGACATATTCAATATGCCAAACACAGTAACAAGTCTCACGATGGAGATGTTACTGGGCCCGCTCGAGAAAATCGATGAACAACAGGAGGACCGTGACCGTGACATATACCAATATAAATATTACATGTGATGTCTAGTAACATGCTATTTAAGAACACTAAACAAGTATAACGAATTGTATCTCATCAAAAATAACTGCACTGTCACTGTATCAATGAAATGTGAAACTCTCAGCACACACTATCAATTCTTATAAATAATAAACTATTTTAGAAATAAATTTATAAAAGTTAGTATGCTTACCTGAACTACCCAGGGACTGTTGGCAAAGGCCATAATATCTCTTTCTTCCCAGAAAAAAGCAGAATCTGATCTTTTTATCATTTCAAACTTACTTAGAAGCTTCATTGCATAAACCTTTTGTGATGCCTTATGACGAACCTGTTCATTTTTTAAAACACAAAAATTATTAGTATGTTAATTTTATGAGAAAGTATAATTTTATTAAAGATTTAATAACCATGGGTTAATAATAAAATAAAAATACAAGCACAACATTTTACAGAAAATAAGGAGAAAAATCTTAATGGACTAATTATTTCATGAAATACAGTGTTTTTTAATTCTGTGTTCAATATACAACACTGATTTCATCTAAGTAAAATAATCACAGATCAGATCACAGATCATCCTATTATTCGTCGATTGCCTCGAGCAGGCCCCAGTAATGTCTCCTTCATCCTAGCCCTGAGATTATATTCAAGGCTCTTTAGGAGAATGAGACCCATCATTGTTACTGGTATTTGGCATATTGGGTACGTCACGGGGAATTTGCCAGACTCTGCCGTGTGGGCAGGCTACATTCGGTAAGTAAAATAATAAAATTTATAAAACTTTGTTTCCTCATATTACATCAAGCCATTCAACTTTAACAGTAATATGTTGTTAAACAAGAAACACAAAATATGTGACTATATCCCTTGCTACCAGAGCAAAAGAATCCAATACATTTATATAGCAAGGAAAAATTGTGATTTAAAAGGTCTGTTTAGCCTCATGGGAAGGGGGGGCGTTCTGGTCCGTCCTTCACGCCCTACCGAGGTCACCAGTTGCCCCCCACGAGCGGCTCTCCAGCACGGCCACGGCCCCAGAAGCACAAGGACTTAATGCAGAACCCAGCAGCTTGGAGCAGAAAAGTGAACGGACTATGCATTGATCCAGGCCATCAAGTCTGCCGGAGGGGAAAGGGTGTTGCCCCATTCGCCCTCTCCTCTCTGGAAAGAAAGATGGCGGCCACATGGGAGCCTTGTGGACAGCAGGTATGAGCCGGGAGTGTGGGGGCGACTAAAACCTCATGGGAAGGGGGGCGTTTCGGTCCGCCCTTCACGCCCTACCGAGGCCACTGGTTGCCCCCCGCGAGCGGCTCTCCAGCACGGCCAGGACTCCAGAACACAGAAACCAATTTCTTAACTATCTGACTTTCAGTAGAAATACTTCCAGGGTCAATAGGTAAAAGAGCAGAAATCCAAAACCAACATTTAATTCTTGAACCCAGCCGTAGAAAGCAAATCACTTCACAATGCTTTTTCAGCATGTCTGATTTGGGGGGGGGGGGGGTAAACTCTAAATAATAGTGGTGAATCTTTTATTGAAACAATGAATCTAATCAAAGCAGATAGAGTGTTAACTAGAATTCATCTGCTTCACAGGGACGGGGAGGGGTGGGGGGTGGGGTTTTATTGGGGTTCTTCATGGTAAAAAATAAGTATTGGTAAAGGGAAGTGTGTTTGATATTTGCATGACTGAGACATAAACCTGAAAGCTTTGTAACCTTTCCCACAGTGATTCAATAAATAAATTTAAAAAAAAAAAAAAAAAAAAAAAGGTCTGTTTAGAAGGAGGAAAAAAATAACTGTCAATAAATATGGCTGTTCAATAAATGTTTATCTTCTCATTAGGGTTAGTGATAATTTGGTGAAAAATTGGCTGAAAACCATAAAGATAATGAGTAAAACCAAGATTTAAAAGAAGCCTGAATCCAGAATCCATGCTACCAACCTACTTAGGCAAATTCTATGTATGTGTGCCTACAACACTTTCCAAACTAGAACAGGGCCAGATTACCTCTGTGACTAGTGTTCAGTTGCATGTCCTTTTAACTCATGTATGCCAGTATTTTGTACAACATATGATTCAGTTATCCGACTGAGGGTTGAAGGAAAGACGCTCCCGTACAGTCTACAGAGTCTAAACCAAAGATCTAGCCCAATATCTACCTTATTAAATCACAATTCATGTCCTGTCACTTCTTTTTCTCTTCAGGTACATTTACCTTCCTTTAGTTTCTCTGAATTCCCCTATCTTTCTTCATAATTTTTTTTTTGCTTTGGGGGGTTGGGCTGGAGCGATAGCACAGCAGGTAGGGGGTTTGCTTTGTATGCTGCCAATATGGCCGACCCGAGTTCGATTCCTCCTCCCCTCTCGGAGAGCCCGGCAAGCTACCGAGTATCTAGCCCGCACGGCAAAGCCTGGCAAGCTATTCAATATGCCAAACACAGTAACAATTGCACAGTGGAGACGTTACTGGGCCGGCTTGAGCAAATCGATGTACAACGGGAGGACAGTGATAGTACTTTGGGGGTGCTTGGAGGCCCTCTCAGAACCAGGTCAGCTGTTCAATGTAAGGGACCCTAGGATCACAGTTTGGGCCCTAGGGTGCAGGAGACTATCCAGGTCCCCCTGGCAGTGCTGGGATATGGGACTGGGCTCCAGGACCACACCCAGTGATGTGACCTACTACTGTACCAAGGATGATCAGAGAACTGTTCGGGGCAGAAGATCAATTACTTTTAAGGTTGGATTGGAGTGATAGTACAGGGAGTAGGGCATTTGCTTTATATGTGGCTGACCCAGGTTCAATTCCCTGACATCGCCATAGTATCCTGAGCACTGTCAGAAGAAATTCCTGAGTGCAGAGCCAGGAATAATACCCTGAGCATCACTGGGTGTGACCCAAAAAGCCAAAATCATCATCATCATCATCATCATCATCATCATCCTCCTCCTCCTAAGAAGGGAAAAGAAAATCGATGACACTCCATGACTACAGTCCCACTAAGACTAGCTCCTTTTTGATTCAGCTAATAAACTAATTCCTCATAACCCCCTATCCAAACTAGGAACTCATGGTTCTCTGCAACAGAGGTCCCTTTGTTTTCTTCTTAGCAGGTACTATTGTCTGTCACCCATGCTAGAATGTAAACTCAACAAAGGTAAAGATCGTCCATTTCCATCTTCTTCTCCATTATACCATTGTGACTAGCACAACATCAACATTAGAAATAAAATAGATGCTCATTAAGTATTTGGTGAATGAATTGAATGTGCTGCAATTTTTTTAAATTTGAGAATCAGTCAAACTATGAATTTCCAGTCCCACCCCTCATCCTTCGTTCCCCCCCCCCCCCACAAAAAAAAATCAACAGGTAATATCTCTAGTACAAGTCAAGGGATTCAAAGGCAACAGAAACTGAGAAACTTCAGTAGAAGTTTACCACAGAGGCAGATGGCGACTGGGGGAGATACTGGGATACTCTGTTGGAGAGTGTAATGCTAGAATGTTTTCTGTGTAAAAACCCTACCTTTAATAGTTTTGTAAACTACAGTGACTAAAATATTAAAGAAAAAAGAAAACTAAACTGGGAATATAGTTTAACAATAAAACACACACTCTGTCCCTCTGGGAGAGCCCGGCAAGCTACCGAGGGTATTTCACCCACACAGCAAGCTACCTGTGACATACTGAATATGCCAAACACAGTAACAACAAGTCTCACAACAGACACATTACTGGGCCCGCTTGAGCAAATCGATGAACGGGAGAACAATGCTACGCCTCACATATACAAAGTTCTGAGTTTAACCTTAGTAATCCTCCCTTCACCCAAATATTTCTAGCTATTTTTCAAAAAGTACCACTCACACTTAGAATCAGTAATTACATGTATAAAAATAAGGCAAACCAAAGAAATGTTCATTCTTGTTTCTCTCCAGAGAAAACGAAAGTGTACATCTGCTTGCACACAAACATGCACATCTTAGAAAGGTTGACTGTACAATGCCCATACTGAGAATGGGGTAGGTATGACACACAAAAACAAATGTATATGACATCTGGGAGAAATAGTCTGTCAAACAGTAATGTGAGTTCAGTTAACTCTGGACAAAATGAATTTGCAAAGATGTAATTAATATGGTCTTCATATTATTTCGATCAGCACTTTCACTTTGACAAAAATCAATAAAACAACGAAAAGATAACTTGGATAAAATGTGAAGGCAATAAAAGAGGATTGAGGAAGAGAGGGAAAAAAAGGAAGGGAGAGAATTTGGAGGGTTATTTATTCTATTTACCTGAACTTCCCCATTTATAAAATGCATATTAACAGTAGATACCTAGAACAGAGAGGGGGAACCTATTTTCTGCCAAGGGTTATTTGGATATTTATATCATTCATGGGCCATACAATACAGGCAGATGGGCTTCAGGCAGCCCGTAAGAAGGATACACATCCTGTCGTGTTCTAGGATCAGGCTACATGATTTCATGTGGCCTGAAGGATGGATAATCTCTACTAGTAAACTAGAAGGATTACTGTGAAGACAATATTATAAACTGCTTAGAAACGTGCCTGCATGGTATAATTGTTATAAAAATGTGGCAAGATATATTTTTCATGTACATACCACCATTCTTAAACATTTATACATCTCTAGATCTATTTAAAAGCTGTACATTAAGTGATAAAAAGGTTATTCAGTGGTGGGAATATAGGTGGTTTTGTTTGCATGCTCTTTTTGATGGTGTCAGGGATGGAGCCCCGCCAAAGCATGGGCTCTCCAATGAGCCACATTCCCAACCCTCCAGGTGACTCTGGGACTGCGTAAGAAAAGAAGACTGTTCCAAAGTACATGTTCTTAATTAGCCCACTATACTAAATCAGTGAATCATTTTATCTGCCATAAAAAAAAATGAGATGAGGCTGGATAAACAGTATAGCAGGTAGGGTGCTTGCTTTAATCCCTGGCACAGCATATGATCCCCGAGCACTACCAGGAAAGATCCCTGAGCAGAGCCAGGAGTAAACCCTGAGCACCTGCAGGTGTGGCCCAAAAACCAAGGAGGGGGTTGGGAGAGACTTGCTGATATGATAAAGGGTGATAAATGAGCTCAAAGAGCAAATATAATAGTGATATTAGATAAAATTACCTATGGTCATGGACCTTTCATTATATAAAAACTATACACCTATAGGAACAAAAGATTAAAAAGGCTAAACAAGCTTTACTTTCCTGGAATTACAAAAATTTTATAAGTAACAACTGCAGCTTTCCAATGAGGACATCTATGCTCCAATTAATTGGCATTCTCTGGATTAATGACATTTTCACATGTTCTTCTTCTGAGTTTTGACTCTGACCCCAATACCTCCTGTGGCTAATTCTTTTAGTTCTTGATACAACTTTACTTTCTCAGTGAAAGTCCTTTGCTTATTCCCAAATCTTGTATTAGGTATAACTCTCCATTATTCTCTCTAGGAGCACGTGCCTCTTTTCTTCACAGTACTTCTCAAATCTGAAAATGCTTGTTTAAAAGTCTTTATCCCCTCCATAAAACCTACCATTTTCAGAAAAATAAGAGACCACATTATTTTATCTTTGAAGATAAGCATGACTCTTGCAACATAACAGACCCTGATTAAATATTTGGATAGATGAATAAATGAACCATTTTATATCTGACATTAATTGCTAACATGTACTGAGCAATTATGCTACAGAAACAAATGTACATAACATTTAATTCTTATACTAACTCTCCAATATATTGTGTTATTATCCTCACTAAACAGAAAACTGAAGCAGAGAGGTTTAATAACTTGTCTGATATCACAGTCAAGTAAAAGCGGAATTCAACAGTAATTCTGATTCTACCTCTTAAATACTATGTCTCAGCTGCTGTGACCTACCAAAGTTACTTTTACAGTAAGTCTTTTCTCTGAGGCAATCAATTATAAGCTTTCTGGTGTGAACATGGCCGGGTGCAGATCACTTTACCAGGTAAACCCAGGCCCTCACATTAAGTAAGACTTAACCACTCAGCTACATCCCCAGTGGCAATGAATTTTTCAACTCTACTTCCAAATAAATACTTCACAGGATCAAATGTGTACTTCCTACCATAAAACTTTCTTCAGAATACTAGAAAAAAAATCATCATAAAGATATGCCAACTGTAGCACCAGGCATTTACCTCAGCAGTGGAGCAATTCCCTTGTATTATAAAGCCCTGGGTTTGATGACTTGGAAACTCGGTGAGGAATGCTGGAATATACACCAAGTGTACAACATTCCCTATATATCTTCTGAACTACCAGGTACAAATCAATTTTAAAAGGCCATGGAAGAAGCACCTAAGACATTTTCCATTTCTCTCACTCGAGAGTTTCTACCTAAGGGGACAGACTAAGATCTAAGGCTAAAAGTTCCTGAGTCAAGGTTAACAGAATGTTAAAATAATTTTCATCTTAAAATGCACAGGTTTTTCTTTGTTCTGCATATTTTAAAGCCAAATAAAATTTAAGATAGAAAACTACAACAAAAAGCCATCTAAATTTTTCTTCATTTCCCTTCTCATTTTTAACACACTAAATTTTAATAATAAAATTAAACAATGTCTACCCTATAACAACAACATGACACATCAGACTCTATAATTTCTCCTCTCAAACAAAACTACAAATTCTAGTACTTCTTTCACAATCACACTTCAATTCCTGGTTATCATATAGTTCCCTCAGTCCCCTGAGCACTGCCAAGGGTGCCCCATCCCATCTCTCAAAAATAATTTCAAATGAACAAAACAAATATTCTTACCAACTGAACTTCACCAAAAGCACCTCTTCCAATAACTTTTACAACATCATAGTCTTCTGCCTTCATCTGTAGACCTCTGATTTTTTTAACTATTTTCTCATCTACAATTTAAAAAAATTGTTTTTGTCAAATCAATTATATTTATAAAAAATTTTAGAAACTCACCATAATTGTAAGTAAGTTTTTATTGTAAGAAATTGAACTTGGGGTATGGGGGATGGGAGGGATACTGGGACCTGTGGTGGTGGAAAATGGGCACTGGTAGAGGGATGGGTGTTTGATCATTGCACAATTGAAACCCAAGCACAAAAATTTGTAAATCTACAACTGTACCTTATGGTGTTTCACTAACAAAAATTTTTTTTAAAAAATGTAAATGATGGAGAATGGGCACTGGTGGAGGGATGGGTACTGGATCATTGTATAACTGAAAACCAAGCACAAAAATTTGTAAGTCTACAACTGTACCTCACGGTGTTTCACTAATAAAAATTTTAAAAAAAAAGAAGAAATTGGACTTTAGGGGCTGGAGCAATAGAGCAGCGGGTAGGGTGTTTGCCTGGCACGCAGCTGACCTAGGTTCGATTCCCAGCATCCCATATGGTCCCCCGAGCACCTCCAGGAGTAATTCCTGAGTGCATGAACCAGGAGTAACTGCCGTACATCGCCAAGTGTGACCCAAAAAGCAAAAAAAAAAAAAAACCTGGACTTTAATCTTCAGTTACATCTATAAGGTTTTTTGATTGGCTACGTTGGGGCCTGGGCTGGAGAGATAGCACAGCGGGTAGGGCATTCGCCTTACAAGCGGCCAACATGGCCGACCCGAGTTTGATTCCTCCGCCCCTCTCGGAGAGCCCGGCAAGCTACCGAGAGTATTCGATATGCCAGACACAGTAACAACAAAGTCTCCAATGGAGATGTTACTGGGCCCGCTCGAGCAAATCGACAATCAACGGGAGGGCCTTTACCTTTACCTTTACGTTGGGGCCAATCATGGGACTGTTACATTGGGAGGGTTATAATTAGAGTAAACATAAATCTCTTATTGAAATAGTTATACTAAGGTTAAATATACTTACATCTATTTAAAAAATTATCTATATTCTTGTTTTTCCTCAAAGCAGGAAAATCCAAATCAAGGACCAATGAATTTAAGCCATCCTGTTTAACAAAACATAAAGAGAAAGAAGAGTTATTATTTTCAACCTTCCAAAATTTATCTTTAAAATTGTATCATATGCTGTTTCCCGCTGAGTAAATTATCAATTCACTTTGATGTCAAATTACCCACTGATTCCATATTCAATAGCTTTAGTTTTCTGTCTCTGCTACAAACAACTTGGGCTAACTGTATACCATGCTTCTCTTTGTTATTTTAAGTTAAAAAAAAAAGTAATTTAAAATATATACATCCACTACTGTTTTTCCGGTCAGATGGCTTCTTTTTCTTTCACTGTTCAGTAAAATTTCACCATGATTTTAACTTTAAGAAATAATAACATACAGGGGCTGGAGAGATAATACAAAGTTGAACAAACTTGCTTGCATTACATTTAGCTAACCCATTAGATTCTAGCATTGTATGATCCCCCATGAATCACCAGATACTGCAATAGAGGACGGACCCCAAGCACCACAGGGTGTGTGCTGGTGGCTTCCTATCCCCAGCATCACTGGGATGGCAAGGTAATCCAAGGCACCACAGGGCTCCAGAAGTACCGTCCCCTTAGGACCTCATATTCAACCAAAGCCTGGCTACCCAAAAATAACCGAGAGGGATATCTGGACTTTCTGAGTAGCGACTGGGAGGACCCAAAATAATTATACTTAGAAAAAGAAGAAAAGAAATAACATCCAGACTAAGTTAATTCCCATGCAAACAAGAATTAATTTTCTGTCTAGTACATAGAGAGCAGGTGGAGCGATAGCACAGTGCTAGGGCATTTGCCCTGCATGCAGCCAGCTGGGCCAACCCAGGTTGGTTCCTCTACCCCTTTTGGAGAGCCCGGCAAGCTACCGAGAGTATCTCGCCCGCCCGGCAAAGCCTGGCAAGCTCCCCATGACGCATGCGATATGCCAAACATAGTAAAAACAAGTCTCACAATGGAGACGTTACTGGGCCCGCTCAAGCAAATAGATGGACAATGGGAGGACAGTGCTACAATGCTACATAGAACAGAAACCCCCAAATGACACTATCCTTAAAGGAGCTCAGCCTCAAAACTAAGTTTCCTGTGAAGAATATGAGAATAGTATAATACGTGGGCTGGAGCGATAGCACAGCAGGTCGGGCGTTTGCTTTGCACACAGCCAATATGGCCGACCCGGATTCAATTTCTCCGCCCGTCTTGGAGAGTCCGGCAAGCTACTGAGAGTATCTCGCCCACACGGCAAAGCCTGGCAAGCTACCCATGATGTATTCAATATGCCAAACACAGTAACAAGTTTCACAATGTTACTGGGCCCACTCGAGCAAATCGATGAACAATGGGAGGACAGTGATATTGACAGTATAATACATACTTTAGATTCATATTTTCAATTTTCTGTATTTTCCAAACTTTAAAAACAAACATGCACTGAATTTTTTATCAAAACATAAAAATTAGGGGCTGGAGGGGCTGGAGCAATAGTACAGCAGGTAGGGCACAGAGGGTAGGGCATTTGCCTTGCAAGCGGCCGACCTGAGTTCAATTTCCAGCATCCCATATGGTTCCCTGAGAGCCGCCAGGAGTAATTCCTGAGTGCAGAGCCAGGAATAACCCCTGTGCATTGCCGGGTGTGACCCAAAAAAAAAAAAATTAGGGGCTGGAACAATAGTACAGTAAGTAAGGCGTTTGCCTTGCATGCAGCCAACCTGGATTCAATTCCCAGCTCCCATATGGTCCCCCGAGCACCGCCAGGAGTAATTCCTGAGTGCATGAGTCAGAAGTAACTCCTGTACATCGCTGGGTGGGGCACAAAAAGCCAAAAAATAAAAAAAAAAAGAAAACACATAAAATCAAAAATATAAACTCACTAGGATGGGAAAAGTCTCAAGATCCTCTTACCCAGACCTTTAATGAGGGAGGGAGGGAGGGAGGGAGGGAGGGAGGGAGGGAGGGAGGGAGGGAGGGAGGGAGGGAGGAAGGAAGGAAGGAAGGAAGGAAGGAAGGAAGGAAGGAAGGAAGGAAGGAAGACTGAGAAGAATTCTGGAGATTGGAACAGAGAAGGCACTGGCTGTACAGGCAGTCAACCCTGGCTATTTCCCCAGCAGCAAAAGGTCCCTTGAGCCCCACAAGGAACAACCTCTGAGCATAGAGCTAGGAGGATCCCCTGAGCACTGCCAGGTATGGCCCTCCTCCCCTCAAAATCTAGAAAAACTTTTATACTAACACAGAGTAAGCACGACACTACTGGAATACAGAGAAATATAAACACATGTCAGTATGTTTCCAGTTGCAGGAGGTCCAAAGTATAACTTAATACTTCTGATCTCATGGTGGTTGGTGATCTTAAGTTCTATATAATTCAAGGGCCAACCAAAATGCAAAACTTAGAAAGGTAAGTTGAAGTTCTAATTCTAGGAGGGTCCTGGGAATTTTGGCGGTAGGTAGTAAGTACCATAACTGTACATCAATACTATTAACTTAAACACAGCTGTAATCATGTTACCTAAATTACAATTTAAAAATGTTAAAGAATTGCTTATATTTATATACCACATATAAAGAAACAAACTGGAATAGACAATATCCAGTGAACTTTACAAACGCTTAGACTCTGAGGACAGAACAGAAGGATATTGACACTTTTGAGATGAGTTGGTGTGATAACAATGTATCCCTAAAACTTACTATTTAAGTTCTTGTAAACCACTCCTACCTCAAAAGATGTTTAAAGAAAGAAATGCACATACTGTGTTTATTATTCAGTTATATTTAATATTTCTAATTTTCTTTTTTTGTTTCATTTTGTTTTTTGTATTTCGGACTAGGTCTGCAGTGCTCAGTGCCAATTCCTGACTCTGCCCCCAGGGATCACTCCTGGAGGGCTCAGGGAACCCTATGAGGTGCCAAGATCAACCACGTACAAGGCAAACACCCTACCCTTGGTACTATCACTCCAGCACCTAAATTTTTAATTTTTAATCATTAAAAGAATGTCAATACATCATAAAAAATACCAATTATAAAATGGATATCTAAAAAAATTAGATTTAGCTCACTTTTTATTTTCTTTTTAAATAAGTTATATTTCTTTTTATAATGAGCGATAGCACAGCGGGTAGGGCGTTCGCCTTACAAGCAGCCAACATGGCCGACCCGAGTTCGATTCCTCCGCCCCTCTCGGAGAGCCCGGCAAGCTACCGAGAGTATTCGATATGCCAGACACAGTAACAACAAAGTCTCCAATGGAGACGTTACTGGGCCCGCTCGAGCAAATCGACGATCAACGGGAGGGCCTTTACCTTTACCTTACCTTTACAATACATATTACTTATAAAATACTTATCAAAAAATATATCTCCTTAAAGGTACTTTTTTTTTCATTTTCTGTATTTTAAGAGTAGAATATTGAGCCAGAGATTCTGGTTAGAGCCCTCACACGACAAGTCCCCCAAGAGACCCTTAAGAATGGAGCCAAGGTGTGGCCCAATCTCCCTTGACCCCAAAGAGTCTTGTACTTCTTCCTTTTGTCTTTTACATTACCAAGTAACTGCCTCTGAATTGCTAATATTCCCTCTAAGGTATCACTGGAGCTCCCTTTTTAAATTCCTTTTCCTATTTTGTTCTCAGCTTCTCATCATTTCTTACCCTAAAACTAGTTCCCTACCTTTTATCAAGCCCTGCTTCTTCTGCTTCTTCAATTCCTCTATATTCTATTATCAAGCCGTTAATTTTCTTGAAAATTTAATCTATATACTCTATGCTCTTTGACCATCTGGTCCCACCAAACTTTTCCAAACTTAACTTGCACTAGTTGATGAATTTCACTCACATTTGCTCTAGATGTGTATACTGTTGGTATAGACATAAGTAGTTATAAGTAGTTATATAATACGCCTAGCGGGCACTTGATAACGTGATTAGCCCAAATGTAAATGTTCTATAAATACAAATATACCATGAATTTTAAAAACTTAGGATTCAGAATGGGCTGGAGCGATAGCACAGTGGTAGGGCGTTTGCCTTGCACACAGCCAAGATGGCCGACTCGAGTTCAATTCCTCCGCCCCTCTAGGAGAGCCCGGCAAGCTACCGAGAGTATCTCACCAGCAGGGCAGAGCCTGACAAGCTACCCGTGATGTATTCGATATGCCAAACACAGTGACAACAAAAGTCTCCAATAGAGACGTTACTGGGCCCACTCGAGCAAATCGATGAACAACAGGAGGGCAGTGATACAGTGATACAGGACTTAGAATAAGAATATAAAATATCTCATTAACAATTTATAATATTGATATTGAAGTGAACTTCAATTACATTTAATTAAATATATTAAAACTGGGTTGGAGCAATAGCACAGCTGTTTGCCTTACATTCAGCCAACCCGGGTTCAATTCCTTCGTTCCTCTCGGAGAGCCCAGCAAGCTCCCCGTGGCATATTTGATATGCCAAACACAGTAACAACAAGTCTCACAATGGAGATGTACTGGTGCCCACTCAAGCAAATCAATGAACAACGGGGGGACAGTGCTACAGTGCAGTGCTATATTAAAACTATCTTATCCTTCCAAGTTTGTGATTACAGCTATTAGAAAAATTGTACTAACGTGACTTAAATCATGTAGGATAGACTAGACTTAGTTTCATAAAATGCAACTATATGTGGAGGTCATAAAAAAACCTTTAAAACTTGCCTTAAAATAATTTTATTTAATATTTATTACCAGTACTGGCCAGAGAGATAGTAAGGTACTTGTCGTCGATGAACCAAGTTCAATTCTTGGAATCCCATTAATTCTCCTGAGCACTACTAGGAGTGATCCCTAAATTCAGAGCCAGGAGAAAGCCCCTGAGCACTGCTGGATGTGGCCAAATCTCCCACCCCAAATGTATTACTAGTAAATGTTTGATTTGTATACTTATTACACAGACCTACAATATGTACACCCCAAACCATCGCAGAAATTTCTCCTATCTTGAGTGGGCAAAGTTTAAGAACCCTTAGATGAAATAAAGTCACCTTCACACTAATTTTTCTAACACTGTAACTCTGCTCATACCTTTCTTTAATCACAGAATATCAGAGAACATTTAACACTTAGCATTTTTTGACAGGCAATCAAGTACCATGACTGAGGGCTAGGAGAAAATGTTCTGCATGTTTAATACCTGCCAAACCTTATCACTGATTCAAAGTTAAATTCTGATTCAAAGTTAAATGCATCATTATTTCCATAAAACCTTCTATACCCAATCAGGATAAAAATTCCCCTTCTGAATATCTTTATATTACATAGTCTTTAAGAAAGATGTTACTCTGTACTTAGGATATTTACATCCACAATCTTTTGTATTTATTACCTGTAAATTTCCGTGTGAAATACTTTAAATTCAATGATTCCTCTAAAAGGTTTCTGTCATAATACTTTACAGAGCACACCTTCAAATATTAAATCAGGTATCAACACAATCATCTAAGATTAATGAACAACTGGAGGACAGGGCTACAGTGCTAGTTTTTGAAACACACCTGGTAATGTTCAGGGCTTATTCCTCCCACTGTGCTTAGCAAACACTCCTGGAAAGGCAAAATGTCCTACCCACTGTACTATCTCTCTGTCCCCAAGTCATTTTAACCCTATCCGGTGAAACAGAAAGGTAACTCAGTAAGGATCCATGCTTTCTCAAGTTGAGGACATCTGAGCAGTATCACAGCCCAATGTGTAATATATTGGTTTATACTGGAGAACTAAGCAAATGAGTAACTTTATGATAATAGAAACCAGCTCTTAATACTGGAAAAAGAAGCATTTGTATGGGGGTGGGGGGAGAGGGGAAAGGAGGAATATAAGAGAAGAAAAAGAAAGGAGACTAGAACACTTCACAAATTTGCAAGTCATCCTTGCGCAGAGGCCATGCTAATCTTCTCTGTATTGTTCCAATTTTAGTATATGTGCTGCCGAAGCGAGCACAAAAGAAAGGGGACTAGAATGAACACACAGAATTGGTCTGAAATTAGAACAATCTTTACGTCATGGATTTCAATATAGAAACACAGTAATATGGCTATAGGTGTGTATTTACCCATATTAATGCTTCACTGATCTACCAAAAGGGTGTTATTGTTTCATCTAGGAAGATACTGGAAGAATGACTGGCCCAGTACCCAGATCATGATTTTGATTTAATATGCTGCACAGAAAGGAAGTAGGGTTCCTTGGAGAAATGGCAGGTTCTGGGAATAGCAAAATTTTTAAATGAGTCTGTAACATGTTATGCCAAAAGTAGGTGTTAAAAAGGCACTACATATATTTGTGTTACATCAACCAATCACAGAACAGGAGCAATGTACTAGGGGTATGTAAAATATAAACACTAGGAGAGATGGTATAAAAGCACCAGTCTGGATTATTTCTTTCAACTTCCTGTGACTTGATAATTATTTTGAGATCAAAGCTTACAAGAAAAAGAAGTACACAAGAGTGGTAGAAACATGTCAAAAGGAAATAAATATAAGTCAGCTTGAAAGAGTTCCCAGTGGCAAATCTGGAACAATCTGAGCATTAAAATAAACAATGATAGGGTCAGGAGCGGGCCCAATGGCTAAACTACCTGCCTTCTTGGCAAGAGTCAAAGTTCAATTCCCGGTACCACCCTCATGTGCTGAACATGATCCTGATTGCACTGCTGTTGTGCCCGGTGGCTCTGCTGTCTGGAATCCCTACGGCATGAGAAATTTTCAGCTGCACCCCAGTCAGATAGATGCAAACCCCGGCAAGCACTGCAACTAAAATGACTTGTGTCACTGTGGCCAGATGTGCAACCCCCTGGGCAAGCATGTGTGTAAGCAGTGCAGCAGTCTGGTGAAGAATGCAGGGATGCTGTGACCACAACTAAAGGAATGCAGCCTCCAGTGGGCACCCGGGCAGCCTCAGTAGTGCAAGCATCACCTGATGTGTGATCCACAGCGAGTACAACTAAATGTTCAAGCACCACCACCAAGCATGTGTGTCACCCCCAACCACAGCAACAAATCACAAGAAGGAAGAGTAAATGACAGTTATGTACTACATCCCACTGCTCAGGAATTAGTGACACAAATTTATGTTAGTTAAGGAGTTAACTTGCTTTTCTTATTTTGTTTTGGTTTTGGTTTGGAGGCTACACCTGAAGGTGTTCAGGGGTTACTCCTAGCTCAGCACTATGGAATTATTCATGGCAGTCTTGGGGACCATATGAGATGCCAGAAATTGAACCCAGATAGGTGACATGCGAGGCAAATGCCCTACCCGCTGTACTATTGTTCAAGCCCCTAACTTGCTTTTTAAATAGTAAAATGTCAAGTGAAAAGTGTAAGAGTAACTAAATCAGAATAATATTTTGAAAGCAACATGGAAAAAATTTAGGTGAGAAATATCAATAGATGCTACAGCAGATATAAAAGAAATACAAGAATTTTACATAGAGTCAAAGTGTCTCTCCACAAAATGCTTTATTATAAAGGAAAGAACAACAGGAGAAATTCAGCCCAAAAAAACTTTTAATCAAGTAATCAGAGTCAATACTACCTATTGTATAAACTACATGCCACCACATAGGAGTCATTAAAAACACATCACTTCTGTTAAACAGCAGTCAAAAATATGTAAGGGAGGAACTTGTACTCTTTAAAGCCACAAACAGCATGAAAGTCAAGAAACCCTGAGAAACTGTTCCAAACTAAAAGAAACTGAAGAGACATCAGAGCTGGATGTACTGAATGATCTTGGACTGGATCCTTTTGTTCTAAAGAATACTGTTTGAGGAACTGACAAAATACACAAGCAAAGCATATAGGGAAGTTTTCAAATTTTCTAAGTTAGAAATTGTTTCAAAATTGTCAAGTAATAGTTTATTTTTAAATCACTTGAAGGTACATTTCTGACTCAGAACTTTTGAATTTCCTATGTTTCATTATGTTAATTATTCCAAGTCTACCAGGTCTTCATTTTAAAATCATCTTTTTAAGGAAACTTTAAAAACAACTTTCCTTTTTGTTGCTGTTTGTTCATTTGCTTGTTTGAGGGCCACACAGAGAGGTGCCCAGGGATGCTCCTGGCTAGATGTTCTAGATGTTCAGGGGACCATGCAGTGCCATGGATCAAATAGAGCTCCAGCATGCAAAACATGTGTTCCGGTCTATTAAGTTATATCTAATATCTAACCTTTAAACATTTCAATCTTCATGTGAATTCTACTTTTTTTTCTTAACATAAATATCTCACAGATAATTATTATTTGCTTCCCATTAAATGCAAACTAACAGAAGGGAATTTTCATCTGTTTTTGTTTATCATTACATTCTCAGAACTTAAATCTAGGAGTGACACATACTAGTTGTTAAACAAATATTAAGTGGCTAGATGTACAAAGTCCTTGAAACACAAAGCACTTGAAAGATATAATTACAGGAGTCAGAGAGACAGTACAGCATGTAGGGCTCTTGCCTTGGAGTGATCCCTGAGCACAGAGCCAGGATAAGCCTGGAATATTGCTGGGTGTAGCCACAAAACAAAAGCAAACAAGCAAACAAAAACATATATATATACACACATGTAATTACAAAGTTCACTATTCGCATTCATAGAAACTAGACACAGGTTGTTTCTAAAAAGAAAAAAATCTCTACTATTAACTTAATAGTTCTAGGATGTATCAACACCTGTATCTTCTGCATAAATAAACAAGCTACTTGCTGTACGCTGAGAGCTTAGTGAACTACCCTATTTCCATCAAAAAACAAAGTTGTAATACTGAAGCAGTTAACACAGCAAGAAAATACATGCAGATGTAAAGTATAAACTCTCTAAAAGCTGACAGATAAGTACTGACTGCGTAAGATTTGATTTTTAATGCAAATATGTAAAGGGATCAAATTTTGCGCTTTTCGTTTTTAGTCTGGGTTTTTTGGGTGAGTGGAGGAGTGGGATAGAAGCAACAACAATAAACTAGCACTTAAATAGTCAACAGTGCAAATCTAGAGACATATGGTCTGGTATTTACATTTCTCTGAAAAATTACCAAGACCATAATTACGCTAACCACAACTATATCAATTAAAAGTATTATAAAACATGCTGAATAGGGGCCAAAGAGATAGTACAGCAGAAAAGATGCTTGCTTTTGCACAGGGCTGACCCAGGTTCTATTCCCTATGGTTTCCTAACCACTGCCAGGAATATGCCCTGAGCATCACTAGGTGTGGCCCATAATGTCGATCTGCTTCATTTTGGCAATGAATTACACATAAATTTACATATTCATCAAATTATAATTTTCAACAGAAATAGTACAAATTTGGGTTCTAGAACTTGGAAATCTAATTTAGTACTTCTCTCCTGCAGCTGGCAAAAAATAAAAAAATTACCAAAATACAATGTAAAATGCAAAAATCTGGTTTATCATTCCTAAGTGTGGAACCAATGTTCTTATTGTAAAAATATGTAACACTAATTGAAAGGTGAGAAATAACTGAAAATATATTCTAGGCTTTTTCTAGAATCTGTATATGTGTATATAATTTCTAAAAATATCCTTGGCTACCTAGATGGTAGCAACTCAGAAAATTCTTCCATTGAAAAATTAATAGTAAGTAATATACAACGTAGCTAATAGAAAACTACAGAAATCCCGCACTCCCCGTGAAGTATTCGATATGCCAGACACAGTAACAACAAAGTCTCCAATGGAGACGTTACTGGGCCCGCTCAAGCAAATCGACGAACAACGGGAGGGCCTTTACCTTTACCTTTTACATATAAGGTATGTTATTACATGAGTTAACATATTTAAATGAACAGGAAAAAACTACTTAATCACTCAATCAGCACCTCAGAATAACAATAATAATCTCACAATTCAAGATAGCAACTAAAAACATTACCACAAATACTTTTGCTGTTCTCACTATACCAATTTTGGTTGGCATATATTCCTTGTGTATATACTCTATAAAGGAGATAATTCAGACTTTGTACATACTAGAGTTTTTTGTGATTATTTACCGAAAAATAGTATCTAAGAATACCTAAAATATCATATGAACAGTTTCAGATTTTGTTTAACTAGTACATTTGTTGGTACCAAACAATTTTTTGGCACCAATATGATTTTTATACTGTATTTCATGAATAAAATTTAAAAAATAAGACTTCATTCTCCAGAGTTAAATGCGATCAAATCGAGTATTCACAGAAAAAAGAATACAAACTATATAAAATTTTGCTTTACCAGTTTTTAAGGGCTGGAGCTTTAGCACAGCGGTAGGGTGTTTTGTCTTGCACATGGCTGACCCAGGTTCAATTCCTACGTCCCTCTCAAGAGAGCTCGGCAAACTACCGAGAGTAAACTGTCCACACGGCAGAGCCTGGCAAGCTCCCCATGGAGTATCTGATATGCCAGAAACAGTAACAAGTCTCACAATGGAGACGTTACTGGTGCCCACTCGAGCAAATCGATGAAAAACTAATGGAAGAACAGTGCTACAGTTTTTAAATAGAAGGTACACCCACCAGTGCTGGGGAAGAAGGTTGCTGGGAGGTGGGCAGACAGGTCAGGTATGAGAGGAAGGGAAGGAGAGGCAGAAAAGCAGAAGGAGAAAGAAAGAAGAGAGAGAATGCTATACTAAGAACACCCAATGCTTTCTTGAAATTAGGGCCGCTATGTGCTCTACCATTTGAGTAATATTCCCAGGCTAATTCTGCTTTTCAGGGTTGCTAGTTAGAATACTGTTGAAATCTACTTATAAAAGAAAGCAGAGTTCAGAGAGACAGTACAATGCCCAGATTCAATCCCTGGCATCCTATATGGTCCCCTGGGCACTGCCAGGAGTAACTCTTGAGGATAGCCAGGTATGGCCCCAAAATAAAAATAAACACACGGGGTTGGAGAGATAGCACAGCGGGTAGGGCGTTTGCCTTGCACACGGCCAACC